TAGTGAATGTTGACTTTCAATATAAGAGTTCCCATTAAAATTCAAAGTTTAAAGGAGTTCAGGTTAAACAAGAGTTGAGAATAAATTAAAATGTCTAAATAAAGAATTGCTTTAAGACTTGCACATTTTTGACTATACAGTTATGTGGATATCAGCATAATATGATCAACTTTGCAATGTAATAACGTCCTAAAATTCACATAATTATCAATCTACATGTAACCATTCTGTTTGGATTCTCACTTTTAAGAAAAATTGTTGAATGACTATTACCTATTACACATTACCTGTTTAAGCTGACTTGTCAATACACTAATCAGTAACTATGCATATTTCATGGTGACTTGAAAAATGATTGTTAAATGGGTTGTAAAAAAAAAATCTTTATTTTTTTAAGTGGACAGTTTAGGATTCGGTGATCAAATCCTGCTTCCTGCATGCAGTCAGGTAATGCTTATTGCCGTCTTGCATGAGTTTCTCTTTCTGTTAAACCCATTGTAAAAATTGATTATTGCAGACAGTTTTGAATGTAAATGATCTAAAAATGAATGTGAATTCAATTTGTTGTTTTCTGTCATTCTATTAGTAGTTAATTGTGCCAAGAAATCCAATTTTTTTATTTAACCATTTTTTTATTTTATTCTATTTTAACTGTTGAAATTAACAATATAAGGCAGATCTCCTCTTTATTGAAAGTTGCAGATAGTTTTGCCATATGCATATACTTTCTTCATAGGACGAAACATGTTAAATGTAGGAGTGTGCTGCTGCTGAAGAAGTATGTAGAAGATATTGCATTTGTATGTGCAGAACATGTTCAGCCAATATTTTCACATTTTGGACTTTCAACTCCATAAATTTAAAAATGAGTAGATGTGACGGGGAAATATAAAAGGCTGCCTTATGTGTTTATTACTGGCAAAAACAAATATCTTTAATTATTTTAATTTGATCTTGTGCAATGATTTTTAAAGGGAAAGGCATATCATTTGCTTCCATCTGCTGTTAAATTTAATCCACATAAAGTTTTTAATTTGCTTTTTAAAAGCACATGTACATTGTCATTGACATTCCTTGAAAAGATGTGTTAAATGTCTTAAAATCATTCTATTAAAGTTGGATCATAAGCAATGCTTTAAAAAGATCTAACTACATTTAAGTGTATTTCAAAAATGTATTTCTTTTTGACAAAATCAATCAAAAATGTTGTGGAGTGATTGGTTGTCCGTCCTTCATTTTTCATACCCTTAGTGAAATACAGGACAATTAACACAGTGCCAGTAAGAAGTTTAAATGCACTTATCACTGATATTAATATTTTCCATATGCACAACCTCTGTGTCGATCAGCATTTAACATCTGAAGTAGACAGGACTCAGCAGTATAGTTAGCTTAATCTTAATTAAATGATTGTCTTGTTTTATCAGTTCAACCCACAGATCTCTCATATAATATGGTGTCATGCACTGACATGGGGGGGGGGAAACATTTTTTGTACCTTGGTAACTACTGGGTTTATTTGGGAATACATTTCACATTGTTCTATTAAAAGGTCCAATAAAGGTCTTTTGTATTGTAGAACGAACGCTTTTTTTTTTTCATCTTGCAAATACTCTGTTCCCTAACAAGCTTTGCAGAAAAAAAAGCCCTCAGAAAAACAGATCCCTGACCACATTTATGGTAACCATTGTCATTTAGACAAGGCAGACAGCACTGTGCGGATCATGTTCTTTGATTTCTCCAATGCATTGTCAGGAGATCAGACTGATGTGTCAACTGTAAGTTCTTAGCACAGGAGAACCACAGGGAACGGTACTCTTACCATTCCTTTTTGCTATTTACACCTCTGATTTCCAATACGAGAAAGAGTCCCGTCATCTGCAGAAACACTTGTATGACTATAGTGTCATCAAAACAAGGGAGAGGGTTGTAGATTTCAGAAAAATAACCAGGAACATTTCAAATGCTATTAACATCATGGGACATGAAGTTGAAGGGTATAACTACCTCTGTATTACCTGGACAGCAAACTTGAATGGAGATGCAACTGTGAAGCCGTCCACAAGAGGGGACAGAGCAGAATGTGCTTAAGGGAAATTTAGGTCCTTCAGTATTTGCAGCAAGATGCTGCATATTTTCTATCTGTCTATAACCGAGAGTGTGATCTCTTCTGCCATCATTTGCTTGGGTTACAGCATCAGAGAAAATTAGATTAACGAGGTAACAAAAAAGGCTGGCTCTTTCCAAGGAACTTGTCTAGTGCCTCTGGAGTAAAGTGAAGACCACTGTGGACGAGCATTAGAAGAAGATTGTTAAGCACCAGATCTGGTGCAAGACAAACCGCTACACAAGATCATTCCTGCAAACATCTATCAACACCTGCAACAATTCATTGAAAAACTGCCCATGATTTACTTAAACATTGAATTGCCCCTTTGAGTTTAATGAAGTAGTATTGAACTGTATTTAATTAAATGGAATTCCCTTTTAATCACAAAAATTATATTAATCTGGAGATTCATAGCCCCACATATTTACATTTGTGATGGTAGGAGAGAAAACTTTTTGTTCTCTGGAATTTTGCTCAATTCAGTTTATTTCTATAATGCCAATTCACAGCACCAAGTCATCTAAACGCACTTTACAGATACAATTCAATCGGGTCATACAGCCAGATTGGTTGAAAGTTTTTTGTCTAATGAAAACCAGCTGATTGAAACAAATAAATGACTCTTCAGTAATCCCCCACATCAAACATGCTTGTAGTGACAGTGGAGAGGAAAAACTCCCTTTTAACAGGAAGAAAGCTCCAGCAGAACCAGTCTCAGTGTGAACGGTGAGCTGCTGAGGCCGACTGGGGTTCAAGGAGACAGAAGTAGAGATAAAAAAAAAATAACTGTTAAACAGCTACACAGGCAGCCCCGTCCAGGAAACTCACAACCAGGCAGATGAGCTTTGATCCCCAAACGGGAAATGGCGGCCTACTGGTTAGGGCATAGAGCTTGGAAACATGAGGTTCTGAGTTCTAGGCCCACTCCCACAGACTTCCACTCTGGGTCCCTGAGCAAAGACCTCTAACCCCACACTGCTCCCCAGGTCTATAACCAATCTTATTTAGAATGGTACTAATTATCTTTTTTTTTTTTTTTTTTTTTACTAGAATTAATCTTATGCATATAGAGAACCCTATTAAATCATTGCTGCTAAGAGCAGATGGGATGGATGTTTCAACTGAGCTATGCTCTGGGTGAGTTTGGCAACTGTATTAAAAAGAAATCTAGGATCATATTTATTCTCCTCTAATATTAAAGTAAAATATTATAATGAAGGGTCATTTTATACAATAGTTTTTCCAGACTAGCTAGGGTTCTTGTAGGCATGTAGAGCTTAATTTTCTCTCCCGTTTTCCTAGAATTTTGTTTTAAAATGCGTAGCTCTGTATTAAACCAAAGAGCCAGCTTTCTATTTTTCCTCAATCCTTTATTTGTAAAATGGAAAAGATGAAATGGTTGCCCTTTTGCAGTATTTGTTCAGCAATACAGAGCACATAAAACGAGGTGTAAGAATGATTCATGTTTTTCTCTACCCTTTGGACACCATGAAAGACTGCCCACAGTGCTACCGTTTCTAAGCAATCCTAAGCTGCATGACAATCACTGTCACATGACCAAATACCACATAACCTAACCCCTCCCCTTCCTCCTGAAACAAAAACAGAAACTACAAAAAAATGCTATACTGTAGTGCTATCTTAATATTTTTAATGGAACAAATTACCATGGAACATTTGGTTAAAAAAAAACAAGCAAATTTACGAAAAATTTTTTTTTCAAATCTCCAAATGTATTTCCAATTAAAGGCGAGATATTTTAATTTTATTCTAGTGTGGGTGTGAGTGATTGTGTGAGAAACTCCCCCTGCAATGAAGTATATAAGCTTTTCATATATCCTTGCCACTTCCATCAATTAATGCCTTGTTTGTTTTTTCTTGTTACTTGGTGCTATATTTTTGAAAAAAATGTTGCACTCTTTTTGTCAGTGTCTCTTACAGCAGAGAAATTATCCTATATAGTGATTTAAAGGAAAGTTCCTTTTAAATACCTAGTTCTGTTTGGAATTTTATAATTTAATTTTGATCTATTTCAATAAAAAAGGGTGCTTCACATCCCAAAATGACAATCAAACCCTGAGTAAATTATAGTATTATCAGAGGTTTGAGCAACTTCCACCTTCTTTCTGGTTCTGACCCCAAAACCAGCCTACTTTAAGTATTATACACACCTAGCTTTCTAGCCCCTCAGAACTGGTTTGGAGAGAAACTTATTCATAAGTGGAAACACCCCTGAAATGTCAGCTCTTACCCTGTATCATGTATTTCACCATTACATAATAGCCGAAATACTTGTCATACCAGTGCTGCGATTATCTTGGTGTGTTGCTGCTCATCCTGAAAAATCAGAGCCACTGTCATATGATCTTGGATGAGCAGAACTGGGCAGGTCTATCTAGAAAAATAAGTAATGGAGTAAAGTATAGATACCTAAAAAGTGTACTTAAGTACAGTAACAAAGTATTTGTACTTTGTTAGTTGACACCTCTGAAGGATCAGATCAGACTCTTCACCAAAACTAGTTAGACATTACAAAGGGATTGCATATAAATATCGAAATAACACTTTTTAACTTTTTCTTTTACTTTGACAAAGTATTATTTTTATTTCACCAACATCCAACATGACTTGTTTTATTAAATACAACTATAATACCATTTGTGGTTGTAAATTAAGGACATTTGAAAAACCTTGAAAGTTATGACTAATGTTTCACTAAACAGTGTAATTTAATTTATTTATTTAGATAAAACAAAGGGTAATACATATGGCAAGATAATATTTCTTTAATCGACTTTCTGAAGTTCAATTTGAAGTTCTGCAGACTATCTCCGCCCACGCCGCCTCCGATAGGCACCGGCTTGGGCAAAGCAGCGAACCCAACCTCTGGCCGACGGATTGGTGAGACACCCTAGAGCAGGCAGAGCAGAGCCCTCTGGACTGTATGAAGCTCGCTGCTAAGTTCGGGCTCCGTTCGCAACGCAGTCAGCCAGCCTACGTGAACTAACCATGAGTACCTCAGAGTCCTTGGACCGAATGGAACTATGTGAAAGTCTCCTGACATGGGTCAGTAATTAAACCAGGGTGTTTTTATTTGTGACAGACAGCTCTCCGGCGCCGCGGCGATACTAGCTAGCATTGAAAAGCTAACGATAGCTCCGGTGCTAACAGAGGAAACGTTAGCTGGCTAGAGGAAAATGACACTTTGGTTACGTATGCAGGCCAGCGTTTTGCTGTGTTTAGCCTCCATTTACCATCGTCTATTCATCATTTCGATTCGGATATAAATAAAATGCGCTGCTACATAATGTTAGCTAAACTTCATGGTGCTGAATCTCAGCTGTTAGAACAGTTGGGACAAACATCAGAGGTTAGACAGGCTATAATTTAACATTTCTTTGCAGAAGCCGTTTTTCCACCCTCAGATCGTTCAACGTGTCTGCTCACAGACTGGATTCCTGTAATTGTTGTCCAGGGTAGCTGGTGATTACTAGTCTTTCCTCATTCCTTCTACTGATCGAGCTGTCAATTGCACGAAAACTTGCTATGTATTGATTTGTATTCACTCTAAATGTAGACAAACCTAAGAATATTCATCTAAACTACAGGGTTGGATGGCTGTCAGACCCTCAAGTTGTGTGGTTTTTTTAATCGTTCATGTTTACTTTGTTGGAAAAATGAAATGTCCCAAATCTCTCTCTCTGTACTGAGATAAAAACAAAAGTGTTCCTTCATCCTGTGTGAGAAATTATAAATTGTTTTATATTTTATCAGTGATCTCAGGAAACTGGTTCCCGAAAAGTAGATTTAATTTACCTTTTACTTAAAATCCATCAAAACAAACAACTCTTGCAATGTTCTGTCTATAAACTAATTAAAACAACACAATTCTTTCCCCTCCTATATGCCTGATCAAATATTTCCTAGTAGACACCGATTTACTCTGAGTCTGTATTTTTATAGCTTAATTTTGACAAATTCCCATAAATAACAACAATGTAATAGTTTGTTTGATGGAGGTTTAGAGTCTGAAATAATATTAAGGAACTGCAAGATTATCCCAAATTTTACATGAAAGTGTCTAACCTTTATCTGGAAGAAAAAAATAATAGGAAACAACAAAAAAATAAAAGGAAATATTTTTTGTAAAAAAAGATTTACTGATTATGAGATGATAAAAGAAAAAAAAAAGATTCCAGTTTCTTGATCAGTTAATTGATACATTTGCATTTCCTACAGCACTATGTTTCTAGTTGATTGTTATTGTTTAACAACATTAGCATGAGAGTTAAGATTGGCTGCAAAAGAAAAGCTTAGCTGTTTATGTAACCGAACTCTACAACCTTTCCTTGTATTTAACAACACCGATTGTGGATTGTTAAAGATGCTTTGTTATGGAAACTTTGCATGAGGAACATGTTGGCACACAAACCATCTGCATAGGTCAGTAGTGTGTGGAAAAAGAAACGGCATATGTCACTGATCGAAGTGCTTGATACATTCTTGCTGGTTTGTATCTATATTCCTCAGCACTGGTTTTTACGCCTTGCTGTCTAGACGCAGGCTGGAAGAGCATCTCTTTAGAGATAACAGAAACAATGCAAAACAGATAAGTTGTTCTTTTCATTGTGGTACAAAAACATCCCTCATATACCTGTTATGCGTTGTTGATATGATAATGAGTTGATATTATAATGAGTCAGATTTTAATCTGCCATTTTATGCTTCAGGCAGGATATAATATATTCAATGTAAGTTACATATCTGGTTAGACAATGTGTTAGATGCCATTTGCTGACTTAGTGATAATTGAACAAAATGTTCTGTGTAATTTCAAATCCTTTCAGTTCCCACTTGTTGTGGGAAAAAGTTATTCAATTATACAGTCCAGATAAAAAAATGGCGAACGATGGATTTCTTTTTAGTCGGTATTTTATTTTACTTTGCGAAGTTAAAAGAGCATAAGACAGTATACAGCCCTTACAGCATAATGTTCAGCCCTGGTCTTTCCAGACAGTTTGTCTCTGTTCCTTACAGTGATGGAAATTCTGTGAAGGTTAACAAATTACAAATATTTTTTGGCTTTGCAGGTAAAACAGGCTGAGTAAAAACATTTTTCAGTAAGTAAATAGAAAATCTGAACTCCTAAATCTGTATATATAACATTTCTACATCCACTAGTACATCCACTTGAAAGTAAACAAATGTTCAGACTTTTCAACTGCATTCTCAGGCGAGGCAGCAATCAAATTTCACCTACTTTGCCAAAATTGTTCCATTCACCTCCCTAACATCGCCACTCTCGCCTCAGTTTCATTCTACTTTGCTTCTCTTCAGATCTTTCCTCTACATATAGATAACAGAGGAATCCATCGCTCCAGCTGCGAAATTCGCGTTCGGTGTGAATGTACCTTTAAAGTTCTACCTTTTGGTAATGTTTGAAAATACCCCATTCCCATTATTAGCATTTTTTTCTTTAAAAAAGAAATATAATTATGAAAATGTATAATATCCTACAATTAAACGAGGTTATACTCTCTTATTACCATTGAAATTGTCCCAAAAAACATCTTTCTTAATTCTTAAAAGTTTTAAAAGCTTATAATTAAAATAAAATGCCTCTGATTACTATCATAGTTGCTTAACCTGCAGCCTGCTGTTTTATCTCCAACAGGGTGAGGCATTCTCTTTCCATCTCTTTTCCCCCCAACTGTTTCCACAAACCTATGGGTGTTGCTTTTCTCTTTGATATTCTGGGAACTCTTTTGTTTTGATTTTACCTTTATTACTTCAATTTGAACATTTTATCTGTTTATCTTTTTTATACTGCTACTGCTTCAGAGAGGCTTAATGTTTTAATGTTGTGTTTTCTTTGAAAATCTTTTTTTTTTCTGCCAGATTTAGCTGTGTGAGAATACTTTCCTTTGTGAATTAGCTGATGTAATTAAAGTGTTTGTTGATGTTCTTTGAACTGGGAGGTGGGCTCAAAGAAAACTGGTTAAAATCTAAAGCAAGTGTGGGTGTGGCGAAACTTGAGTCTGATATTACATCATGGTTAGCTTCCAGATTAATTGTATTGATTCAGCATCACTGTTTATGCTAGTTTTATTATGTCTCTTTATAATCAAGAGGTAATTTACTCACCAGCTGATGATAATACAGAAAATAGCATAAAAAAACCCTGAATGAAGCAGCAAACGATTATAAACTCAGTAAAAAGTATATGTTATTTGTAGGGCTGAAAGATTCACTGTGATTAATCAATTATTAAAATAATAGTCAACTAATCTGCTAATCAATTAATCGTTAATTGGACTGTAGAGACTTTAAAACCTGCATTTAGCTGACAGAGCGACCCACATTGAGCAGCAATTATACAAAAATTGTAAAAAACAAAAAATTTTTTTTAACATTTTGCTTTTTAGATAAAAACCTTTTGCATCTGCCAATATCCTCTATCCCAAACTCAAGTGGAAAAGTTTTACCTGGTTTAATTTTGTAAAAAAATCTTCTCTAGGGAACCTTTGCTCTTTGATTATGAATAGATTTATTGGAAAAAATAATCGTCAGATTAATTGATTTGCAGAATAATCGTTAGTTGCAGCCCTAGTTATTTGTAATACTAACAGCTTAAACATATTTTTAAATTCAATTGTTACTGCAATTTAGTTGGACTAACTAAAGTAATCCATCCTTTTGCAAATTTGTTTAGTTATGGATGAACAGTAACAGTTTAGGATTATAGTGGATCAAGTACAAGATAAAAGTTTAAATAAATCATTTTGACAGCGGGTGTTCACCAACTCTTAAAGCATTGTAAAGCAACATAATGCCCGCTTAACAAATACACAATGTGCCTGTAAACACATGCAAACTTGTTTGTACCTGCAGAGTAGATCTTTAAAGATGCAATTCAACAGATAGCGAGTGCAACCCCGCAGATTTTATTCTAATTACACAACAGCACAACTTTATATGTGAAGTTTAGGCAAATGTCAACATTTACAACATGGGAAGTGAATTCTCAAGTGTTGAACTCAACTTCTGTTGCAGTTTTTGGTCATTTTTTCAGCACAATTTAAATTCAGGCACAAATTCACAATTCTGTGTCTATTATGGCCCTAAGGAGGCATAGGGACACTGACATCTAACAAGTATGCGTGCAAGTAAACATATTTGGACCATTAGAAACAATGAAGGTAAAACAAGCCTAACGTTGATAAAGAGAAAACTTTTATTAGAGCCCGACTGATATGGGATTTTGAAGGCTGATACCGATATTGGGGGCTTTAAAAACTTTAATCCGATATATTGGCCGATATCCGATATATATCAGTCAGAATATGAATAAAAACAACGATGGACATACGCAAAATATGCACTCTCTAACTGTAGTCCAACTCAAATACTCATAATAACCAAACATGTGATTCAAGAAAAATAAACAGAAAATAGAGCTATATAAATAAATTAAGAAAATTTTATTTGGACAGTGTATTGGGCTGTTTTTGATGTTGCTCAAATTTTTGGTTTGAAATGATTATATATACACTTCATGCTTTTTGGTCATTAGATTTCAATGCTACAGATGAGAGTTTTAAAATAAGAAGTATCTGCATACAGTTTAAAGTGAAACATTTTTGAAAGACTCATTCACAAAAACACATCACAAAATATAAATATTGATATTCACAAGCTACTGAAAAGTTCCCTCCTCCACTTGACACAGGGGACTAAACTAGATTTAAGCAGCAAGTTGCAGCTTTTAAAACAACTAAACTGAATTACAACTAAATACTTAAGTTGGAACCTTTTAAGAATTAGTTTAAAGAAAAAGATTACTTCTGAATTTATGAGCCCAAGTTAAACCTGCATTTCAGCATGAAGTATAGTGGCATACAATATGATGAACTTATTTTCCTTCTAAAATCTAATATTGTGTTTATTTCACAAAGAGTAAAGAGTAGACCAGCAGGCAAAGACAACTTTCTTGTCTTTAACTTTTTATTTTTTTTGTAACATTTAATTTTAAAATTTTCATTGTAGTGCTTTGAAAGAGGCTACCTATGTGAATTGCACTTTACATAATAGTTTTATAAATGTTAGTTAAACACTTGTTGTCTTTATTACTTTTAGGTACATGGCTTTGAACATAATCTTATTTTCACAGCCACTTTCAAACTGCCAGTATCACAGGAAATCTGCTCATTTCAATAAGGTGGAAGTAGCTGGTTTGCACATTTTACCTTTTATGCAGCCTTTTTAGATCAACTGCAGATCCTTACTTATTGCATGGACAAAAAAAGAAAAAAAAAAATGAAATTTGAAGATATATAATGTAAATCGTACCAGCTGCCTTGCTCTGCCTGCTTCCTTTTTTCTACTGGCATTGTACCTGGCATCTATCACCTCTGCTATCTGGTCACATAAATGTTTTGTAAATGGAAATTGGAATCATGAATGCGAAGCAACACTAATTATTATTAATTCTTTTTTTTTTTGTACAACAGTGTGAGCCTTAAACAGGAAAAAAATTGAATTTGTTTTGTTTTGGGCCTGATGTAGCTATGAACATGCTCGGTCCTGCAACAGCAGATCTCCCTCACTTTTTTATATGTCACAGACGGATCGGTTGTCAAAGATTATAAGGTTATCTCCTATAGCTGAATGTTTTATAACCTTTGTTTCCTTCTTGCTATCTGTGTTTTAAGTGCTGGTTCATTCTACATTGTCTTTCCTTCATGTTTCCTGCCAAAGGAAATTGTGTTGACCAATTGTGACCAGGATCTATCACAGCATTTTGTTTTTTCAGGCGCCCAGTTTTACTCAACTGCTTTAGGTCTCACCGCAGAATGATTATTGAAGTGTATATTGTTTTGCTATGACACGTCACACTATTTAACAGTCTTCTCAATCAGCAATACTATATATCCATATATCCTTATAGCACCTCAAACATGAATTCAGCGAGTAACCATTAGGGAAGATCAGATACACCTA